TCTTGGCTTTAGCCTCAGCTTCTTCCTTTTCTTTCTTAGCTTTGGCCTCAGCCTCCTCTTTTTCTTTCTTAGCTTTGGCCTCAGCCTCAGCTTCCTCCTTTTCTTTCTTGGCTTTAGCCTCAGCTTCCTCTTTTTCTTTCTTTGCTTTAGCCTCAGCTTCCTCCTTTTCTTTCTTAGCATTAGCTTCAGCCTCCTCCTTTTCTTTCTTGGCTTTAGCCTCAGCCTCCTCTTTTTCTTTCTTTGCTTTAGCCTCAGCTTCCTCCTTTTCTTTCTTAGCTTTGGCTTCAGCCTCCTCTTTTTCCTTAGTTTTAATCTCATCTTCTTCCTTATGTTCTACAGAATCCACATCAGATTTAGCTTTTGAAACAGGTATTGTTTTTATTCCAGACTTGGGTTTAACTTCTGTTTCAGATTTAGATACAAGTATAGGTTCACCGACTTTAATCTCATCTGCCACAGGAGCTGATTTAACTGCACTCTTGGACTTTGGTTTTGGTAATGAGGAAATTGCGCTTTTACTTATTGACTTTGCTGGAGGTTTGTAAATTGATTTAGAAGCAAAAGCAATACTAGAATCTTCGACAACAGTATCAATTGTGTTGTTAACAATTTTATCATTAGCTAAAACAGTAGCAGTTGTTGACTCATTTGAGATTAAGTTATTATTGGAATCAATTTTAGAGCCAGAAGATGTATTGATTTGATTACTTACAACATTTGGACTAGCCCTGCTACTTCTAAATGTGTTCTCTACACTTTCTCTTCTGCTACTTTCTTGTAGAGTATGAAGCTCATTTTCAAGTTTAGTATTTTGATGATCAAGATCTTGAATTGTATTTTTAAGTTGTTGGATTTCATCATCTTTGATTTTAATATTATTATTAGAAATTTCCAGTTTTTCCTGTAGTATATTCTTCTCAAATTCTAATATTTTATTCTTTTCTTTTAGTTGACTAATCTCCCTTTCAGCAGATACAGCAGACTCAATTCTGTAAGTCAGAGCTTCGTCTAACTTGGAATTTTTCTTATTAATTGTATCTTTAAGTTCCTCGTCTACTTTTTTCTTTTCTACTAATATTGTTTCAATCTCTTGTTCAATGTTTGCTTTCTCTTGTTCAATAATTTGAATCTTTGTTTTAAGACCATCTGATTCTAAGCTAGTAATTTGCTGCTCAGTTTTAAGCTTACTAATTGTTTTTTCTTTCTCTAGTAAATTCTTTGATGATTCCTGGAGTTTTAGATCAAGATTAGATATTTGGGAGTTCAATTCATTAATTAATTCCACTTTTTGAGCCAAGTCATTCCTAGTCAAAGTAATTTGAGAATTCAAATCCTTAATTAATATTTCATTTTCATTTAAATTATTCCTCATATCCAATTCTATTTGTTGAATCTTATTACTATATTCTAAACACTCTTTCTGCTTTGATTTAAGCTGTTCTCTAATTGTAGTTATTTCAGAATTATTGATTTCAATCATTGAATTCAGCTTTTGTATTTCATTCTTTAAATTATTAATTTCTACCTCTTTACTACTTAAGCTTGCCTTATATTTAGTAATTTCATCATTTTTAATTATTAGTTGATTCTCTAATGACTTATTATTATTCTGTTCTGTAGTAAGATCAAATTTACATTTTTCTAATTCTGAATATGTGCTGTTATAATTTTCTGTCAAAGAAGCAAACTCTTGAGAAAGTTTGTATAATTCATTCTCTTTAAGTTCTAGCTCGTGCTCTAAATACATTTCTCTATCTTTATAATATTTCAAGTTTGTTTCTAATTCTTCCTTTTTCTTCCCAAACGATACTATTTCACTACTCATTTTAGCAATTTGTCTCTCTTGTTCCTTCTCTTTCCTTCCATATAACAATCCCATTGAAGTTTCTTTAAGCTCATTTTCCAATTGTTTGCATTTCTCTTCGTAATACTTTAAGGAAACTTTATCTGAATTTTGTGAATCCTTCAATTCTTTAAGCTCTTGATCCTTTTCCAATGCAATTTTTTGAGCATTAAATGCACTTGCCTGGTAGTCTGCCAATGTATTTTGAATAAAACTGTGGTATTTCTCATCTTGTAGTTGACTAATACTCATCTCTCTTGTAATATAAGGAACAATCTTACTTCGATTTACCTTTCCATCTTTATTATATGATGAATTACTACTTGATATCACCATTGTTTATTAACTTAAATATTATGCTTTCATTATTTAATTAATTACAGTATTAATAAAAATAAAGGTTAATATTCATTTAGCTTTATATTGAATTTGCAAATAAAAATCTCGTGCTCCCAAACTGTTTCTTAAGTTATGACGAAATCTATTTCAAAGTTATTTGCAATACTACATTCAACTCTTTTGCTTTCGTTTTTCTCTATTTATTTCATCATACAAACATTTAAATGATTTGATTATTTGAAAATTCTTTATTAATTAATCTAAAAATTATATAATTTTTATTGCATGCATTTAAATTATGTATTTATTATTTTGTGCACTAATTTTTAATTTTTGTTACTATAATTATTTTTTTTATTTAAGGTACCCGATACCTAAATGAAATAATTATTTATTTCTTAGTGTCAATATCTAAAAATAAAGAAAAGTGCATTTTGCCAATTGGGCGCGCTAAGGGGGAATCTAGAATATCTTAATTACATGCAAAAAATGAATATAAGAAAAACAAAAAAAATTAATTGAAAGTAAATATATAACTATATATGTAAATTGTTTTTATTGTTTGTGTGTTAAAAAGTGTGAATTTAAGCGTTTTATGACCAACATTATTTTTTATTGAGTAAAATGGTTTGCTTAGTATAGTTAATAATTAAAGGAAACTCTGTATTTATGTAAACAATTACTGTTTGATTCTTTATCTCCAATGTATATATCACCAGATATATCATTTTTTTTATTATTTGATAATCCAAATTTATGGTTAATACTATTATAAAAGCATTTTTTATGAAACACATTTCCACAATGGAATACATAAAGCTTATTAGTATTTAAAATCTCGTTTTCCTCGTCAGTATCATCTTCGTCTCTATTAGAATTCACAATAAATTTCTGTTGGGTGGATCCCTCAATTCTGATCGTATTTTCACCATTTTTATTATTTATTATGCTAAAGTAATTATCTTTAAGTGAGAAATCATTAATTCCATTTGAAATTATATTAAATGAATAAGAGTGAGAATTATTTTTTGTTTTAAATTTAAGATCTTCCTCTTCAAAAATAAAAATGGACTGTTTGCAGTAGTAACAACTTGATCTTAACCCATATTTCAAATATTTCTCATGTGTCCTATTTCTATCATCTAGATATCTTGCCTCGTGAGAGTTAATAAAATAGTTAGATTGATCATTAAATTGGATTGTAATAGCTTTTCTTATTGTATTGACAAGTGAGTGAAAGATATCCAGTAAGTCATTTTGAAAAAGTTGGCCAACTTCATCATTGCATTTATCAATGAATATTTTTGTATTCATCATTTCAAGAGCCAAATGACGCCAAAATTTACATGGGTAATTTATGTTTGGATTTCCGCTGATTTTTTCATCATTTTTAGGCTTTGACTCGCTGATTATTAACTGTAAAATTGGTTTGATAAATATATAATAACTGCTAATTGGATTTTGAAATAACCTATTTAATTTTGAATTAAAGAGAAAATCTGAAAGAAAACCAAACTTTATAAGATACTTTTCTAATAAGTATTGATAGTGGTTATTACCAAGTAAAAAGCAAACCAATATATAGTATAAAACGACTATTAGATCCATTCCAAGCAATTTAAAATCCAAATTTTGAGATATTTTATTACCTTTTTTTGTGTGTAATTCTTCTGCTATTTCCATTAATATCTTATTATCATATCTTTCAGAAATACTTTCAATTTCTATTAGCAGACTCTTTAAAATATTTTTGTAAAAATCAATATAACTTCCACTCTTAATATGATGGTAATAAGAATTACTATTAATATTGTAATTTGTAAAACAATACAAGTAGATAAAGTTAGTAAATTCAATTATTTCTTCCCATGTTGTATATAATTCTTTTCTGCTTTTTAAAGAATTCACTTCTTCAGGATCTAGAGAATATAATATAGTTTTGTCTTTAGTTACCCTTTTTGCATTTATGCTAAAAATTTCCTTACTAAATTTATTTTCCAATAGTCCTCTAATTTTAGAAAGGTAATTACTAAACCTTAAAATGCAAAATTTAAAGATTTGGTCAAAGCTTTCACAAATATTGGGGTTGTACAAGTTTGGATTTACAGAAAATATTTGATTTATATAAATCATTCCATATTCATTATTGTATTTTCTACATATACAAAAACACTTTTCAAAAGGGGTATTCAATAACTCATCATACTTTACTGAACTTTGATACCAGTAATCCAAAATATTTAATACAGATGAATCATTAATTCTCCTTTCTTTTAAAAAACTCTCTAAATATAAAGGGATTAGGTGATTAACAAGCTCATTCCATCTTTTTAATTCTATTTTATTCTTATATATCGACTTATCACTTAAAAGAAATTCCTCTTGAAAACAATTGTTTGAATTATTCTTGTAGTATAACAAGGAACTTAGCAGTAATTTCTTAACTTTTTGATTCAAGTTATCCATAATTATCTGGACATAATAAGATACTGAGTTTTTACTTGTGGAATTAAACACATCATCCAAACATCTATTCAAAATATGGATGATCAGGTCTATTGTATTAAGAGAATCTATTTTAATCAGTAAATCCGTATACTTAATTATCAAAATAAACACTTGATCATAGTCAAACACTTTAAATTTGATCCCTTTTTCAATAGTATTTAGAATATAATTTAAAGAAAATAGTATATTATTGTTTTCTTCATCCATAATATATAATTCTCTCAAAATATTACTGTTAATAAAGTGTTTCTTTGAGTACATATCTAATATGCTCTCCAAATCATAAACCTGAATTGATAGATATAGTGATAAGTTATATAGTGAATATTTTTTCAATATTTTAGATAATCTCTGATTCATCTCAACTTTATTGTAGTCATTTTGGGGTTGAGTGTGCTCAAAAGATAACAGTTCATCTTCTTGAGTGTAATAATTATCTATTTCTAAACAACTTAAGAGAATATTGAGAAAATTCATCCCTTCATTATTTCTATTGCTTTTTATTATCGCCATAATTAAGTTATATTCCATACTTTTCACCAAATTTGAAATGCAATGAGTCAATTCAAAACTACTGTTTAGTTTTTCTACTATTTTAAAAAAGCAGCTTATCACTAGCTTATAATCACCCTCTTTTTTAATATTATAATCATTAATATTAAATATTACCCAGTTCAAGTAATTTCCTAGTAAATAGCTCACTGACACCCCAAATTTGTTACTTTTATTAATAATGTCTTTCAATATATCAGTTCTAAGATCTATGTTTTTCTTTAGTGGAGAATCAGAATTAATTAAGTGATTAAGTTTTTCAGAATTGTCAATTTCATCAATTTTCAATACTTTGTACACAAACAATTCTAATTTATCTTCCATTATTAAATAAAGTTTTTCAAACTTTACAATTTTTTTCTCTTTTTCTTCATCGCTTTCACCTATAACTTCTTCAGTCAAAGGTAATAGGGAGTTTTTTATCTTCTTTAGCTCAGTTAAAATATATACAAAGAATTTAAACGAAATAAAAATCAGTAAGTCACAATTGCTTTTAATTATATTCAACTTTTCAATATTAATTTCTTCACAAAGTGCTTTGATAAATTCCTCAATATCCAAATTTAGTGGAATTTTAGTTAATTGCTTATTCTTTAAATCTTTGATTTCCTCTTCATTAAAAGGGTAAGTATCTCTGAAAATAAGAGAATAAATATAATAATAGTAATTTTGTATTTGACTATCTTCTTCTAGTTGTTTTTGGGATTTAACAATATCTATTACTTGAAATAAGTTATTACCATTCATACAAACAGTTTTGCAATTTTGGTTGCCTATTGCATATCTTTCAATAAAACAATCATACATCTGAACCATAATTCTTTTAAATAAATCAATTGGATCTTTTCTGCTAAACAAATACAGTAATATATAACTAGTCCAGATACCATACTTTTTAAATAATGGAACGAAAACAAGCCATGGATTTCCGTTTCCTCCTAAATTGGTTGCTGAGTAATCCATTTTTAAAGTCCTAATCATAATAAACTGAACTTCATTAAATAATACATCAACACTATCATCGGTTTTTAGTTGATTATCGTCGTTTAAATTGTTTTCTAATTTGCTTTTTTCAAATTTTAAAATACGGTTTTTGTACCAATTAATTAATAATTTTAAAAAGTCTCCTTCCAGGAGTTCCCAACTGATTTCTTTTCCAATATATCTTTCAATAACTGACATTAAATAGTAGTCTAATAATGAAATAACTTCAGATTTGTCTTTATTATTATTTGATAATTGAATAAAGTTGTATGACTGAATTACTGGTATTAATTCTTCAAACAAATACTCCCAAAGTTTTAATCTAATGCTTGAGTCTATAATTAGCTTAATAACTTGTTTTATATAGGTTTCGAATAAATTCACTTCAATTTTTGAGTGAAAACCAGCTACACTATCCAATAAAGAATTGAAAATGTTCTTTAAAATATTTAAAATCATCTTTTTGTCAATATTTATCCAAGTCTGAAGGCTTGGTAGCCTTTTCTCATAAAGTGATATAAAAGATGTGGAGAGTCTTGTCCATGAAACATCATCATATACTAAACATTTGATTTGTTCCATGTTTATATTGAACTCGTTCTCCAAAAAAGGTATCCAGGATTTAAAAAGCATCAAAATTGAAATAACTTTATCATTTAGTAAAAGCACTATTTTAATGCTTTTTCCTGCCCTGCATTGTATAAAAGACTGACCATACAAATCAATGGATTCTTGTAAATCATTTGTAACGCTCTGTGAAACTACAAATAATTTCTTATTATTATCACTATATTTGTGTATACAAACTAACATCTCGTTTACTTGATTAGTTATATTTATTGGCTTACTCTTGATTATTAAATAAGCATCCTTGAAGCTTTTTGAGTTGTCAAAAACACTATTGTTTAACATATTATCAAGTTCTTGTTTTTGCACTAGATTTTGATCTTCCTCTTCAATTAATGCTTGTTTTATAACATTAAGTTTGTTGCTATTTTTACACAGTTTTGTAGTGGAATTAAATCCATCATAATCTTCTATTATTTGGTATATATATATTCCTCGAAAGCCTATTAATAAAGCTATAATATTTTCAGTCAATGCAGAAGCTCCATTAATAGTGTCAAACATTGTCCAAACTGCTGATAGCTTTAATTCTACTTTAATTTCATCTGAATTTTCGAATTCTTCAAATGATTTTATATCATAAATGCAAACAAACCTTGAGATAGAGGCCAAAATTCTAATTTTTATTTGTTCATTTTCAACATTCTTTGAAACTATATTAGGACGGAGCCAAGACAAATAAACTACATTAGTCTCATTCTCAGGTATTTCTATATTCATTTTCTTCAGATCTTCTATTATATTAACTATTTTACAGAGAGCAGGATGTGGAAGCATACTTATAAGCAGGAATCTCTTTCTACCAGCTACTAAATAAAATTGGTAATGGTCCATAGGATGAATTTCCCTTTTACTAATTAATCCAGAATTTATCTGAATGCTCTCTTGTGGTCCATTCTTTTTCAATGGAGGAGGAGGAAGATTTCTGAATTGATGTATTATATCCTCTTCTGAATTATATAAGAAGATTTTCTCTTGAACTATCCAATCATTTGTAATTTTCTCATTAATTTCATTAGTTTCATCTTCAACATTATTTTCAGATCTTTTAGTTAATAAAGTTACGTAGAGATTTCCTTGTAAATCACTTATAAATAAGGCTAATTTATTAACAAATTCTTGATTTCGAATTTCAATAAATTCGTGATTCAAGATCCCATGTTTAATGTGTTTAGGAGAGTTGTTAAGCAGATTAGCAATGTCGGAATCTAGGACACCTTCAATAGCTATTTTAGTTTTGGTTTTGTTACTAACTTCAGTACTAACAAAGTCCTTAACCTCACTTTCTTTTGAATATTCTTTCTCTTCAGCTGATGATTTGATATGATAAATTTGAGTGCTTCCCAAACATCCTTTTACATCACATTTCTTTGAATCAGTTAAAAGATTTTTCTGCAGAGATTCATTCTCTGAATGCTTTGCTAAAACACAATCATGTATAAGAAACTCCTTAATCTTAACAGTGTTTAATTTCCAAACACAAAGATTTCCGTCAATAGTAGCCAATGACAAAAAAACGAAATCTTTGTTTTCAGATTTTGATATGCAAATTGAAGTAATTTTTGAGAAAAAACCATTTATAGGATCAATAACAATAGACTTCTTTGAACTTGTTTCCAAGTAAATCAGGCAAAATCCTTTGATAGTACCTACAAAAATTAGTCCACTATTATCATGGGAAATAGATGAAGGATGGCCAAAATTGTTATTATTTAACTCGATTAAACCATCCTGGAAGATTCTTTTGTTACCATTTACGGCAAAATTGTGTTCATTTTCTATTAATTCCTGCTTTAAATTATTAATTAAATAACATTTATTAGACAGTATTTCATCTTTTTGATCAAATTCTTCGTCGTAATGTAAATATGGCTCTAACATTAAATAATCATTAATGCTATAATTGAAAATTTTGTTGCCACTCAAATTCTTTGAAAAACCTGAACTGTCAAAAAATAAATCATTATTACATTTTTTAAAAATAAAATCAAAATTATCTTCAGAATTATTATTTTCACTTTCTTCGTTGAGGTAATTAGAGTCTGAAGAAAAATTGTCAATCGAAGAATTTTCTTCAAAACTTGAAAGATTCGAGATATTTGAACTTATTTCTCCTTCAATTTCTGAAATTAAATCCTCCAGATTATCGTCTGAAATTGTTATATTGTTTGAATAATTTTCTTCAAGAAACAGAGAATTTTCATCTGATGAATTAGATATTGAAAAAGAGTCCAGAGAATCTTTCGAAACCATTTTTTCCTGATACTCAGTTATAGCTTTGAATTTAACTCTGTTTCAGACAAATTCTCAGCTTAGATTACATATTTATTTAATTAAATTTTTTTTAAATATTAATTTCGATACCCTCACACACTAAAATTTTTAATCAATTTATGCATTGAATAATTTTTTTAAAATATTTTGGCTCCAAATTTAAATAATAAATATATTATTGCAAATTGAATTGGTATTTTAGTGTTATAATTTCAGAATTTTACTTAAAGAACTAATAAAACATACTTAAGTAAATTTAAATTCATTAATATATATTCCAGGTTTTATAATTATCCGAAAATTTTTTTTAAATTAAATGGAATTTGAGATTACTATTGCCAACTGCATTAGTTGTGACAAACTTGATAATGATGATATAGAGAAAATTTCAACCCTTCTTACTAAAAAACAAATATCAGTTGAAGATCTTATTGTTTCTTTGGAAGCTGAGCTTGTTTCTCCGATAGTATCCCAAAAAAAGAGAGGAATAGAAATTATTGAACAAGTATTATGGAACTACCTTCCAAACGAAGATTTTACTGCAATACATATTAAATTAATATGCTGTTTTGTATTGAATTATATTTCTGATTGGGCATGTGTAGACAGTGTAATTGGGATTTTTAAATGTATTTTTAGCTCTCAAGATTTTAATTTGCTTAAAAATATAAAAATTGATATACGTGACGACGAAAATATCAAGGATGAATACTGTTTTAATCCAATAATCAAGTTAAACAACGAATTTGATGCTGAGTCATCAGATCTTGGGCCAGGAAAAATAATTAATGAAGGGGGTTACTTTAAAAGCTATACAGAAATTTGTTCGTATCATAAGTTTATTAACCATTTTAACATTGAGGATGTACAAAATGATGATGAACTTTATAAAATGAGTATTGTTTTCTATTTAATTACTCAGGCTCTTTACAGAATATCAACCAGACAGCTAATTTATTCTTCTAGAATAAAGATCATTGATTTTTTTCTTTTTATTTTTAGCGAAAAAAAATACTATAGTGAATTAATTAGGCTTGGACCAGGAATCGTTCCTATTGTTATTCAACACATCGAAAACGAAAAAGATCCAAGAGTACTTATTAAGGCATTTCCATTAATCCAATATATGATTGAAAATTTTCAAGAAATTATTTCTCTATATGATAACCAACATATTAAGAATTCACTTACAGATTCGCAAAATAAATCTAAACAAGAGTATGATACTTATCAGCTTTATACTGGCCGGATTCCGAAATTATCGGATGAAGAAAAAAAACGCCTTGAATTAATATATAGTTCAAATAATTTGGAAGAAAATGAGGAAACTTGCGAAGAGAGTAGTGGTGATCTATTTTATGGAAGTGATAATGGAATTCTTTCTAATTTAATTTCTGAAGTGTTATTTTCCTATTTCCCACTTCAATTCCAATCATCATCTAACCAACTACCTCGTACTGGTATAATCTCTCCAAAAGATTTGAAAGAAGCTTATTTTTCTGTCATAACTTGTTCATATCTTACACAAGATTCTTTGATTCAAGCAATTACTGAATATATTGATACTCAAGGTTTGTTGGAGAATATCATAAATTACGATAATTCACACTTTGAGGATGAAAAAGAACTGGAAAAATACTTGGATTCTGATAAAATAAACAGCGAAATCTTAAACAAACCAATCCATTTAAGACAAGCTGATCAAGATATTCTAATTGAGTCACTTACTCTCTTAGGCATGATAAAATATGACTTAAATCCTGAAATTATTAATAAATATATCTCAAATGTTTTTCTTTTAATTAACGAGCTTCTTAAAAATACTGTTGTTTCCACAGAAGCAACATACAAATTATTATTAAACATTTTCTTTATCTTAATTAATATTGAGCTTAAATTTAAAAACGGCCAGAAAATAGTGAATACAGCAATTAATCAATTTATTATCCCAAAGTTATTACTAAAACTTAATTCAGAACAACAATTGGATTTGTTTGCCTTCAACATTCTTGATATGTTTATTTTAACAAACAACCAAGCAGTTATTGAAAATATTAAGAATAATTTCATGTTAATTGATATTTTTAAGAATAACTTTTTGGAAAGAATTCATATTAATTCCAAACTTCTAATTACTCTATACATACTAACTGATTACTACAACAATAATGAGAACTTTCAAATATCAGATATCAATCAAAGTATTGACGAAGAAATAACTGATCAAAAACCTGACTCTAAAGATTCTAAGGAAACCGATAATTATGATATTGATTGCTTTAATTTAAGAGTTAATGTGTTTATTGAAAAAGTAGAAAGTGAAGAAAAATTCAAAGAAAATGTTAACCTGGAAAATTTAGAATTACCTAAACTTTGCTTGTTCCTGATACTTAAGTATATTTTAAATGATTACAAACAATTAATAAATAAATTCTTTCAAGCCCTTGACTTTCATTGGTATAACTTTAATCAAAGAACTGAAGTTGAAAAGAATTACATAACTGGAATTAGCGCTTTTTTGTTAACAAATAACTCAGAATCTAGAGCACACTGGTTTAGTTATTTAGATTCAAATTATCCAGTTATTAGTGAAGAAGACAATTTTTCAATATTTCAAAATTCGAATTCAACAATAGAAAATTTAATTTACACTATAGTAAAGGAGGAGGAAGTTCCTTTAGATATGGTAACTATCTTTATCAATAAGATGATCAATATTTCAATTTTTGATTCAATTTCTGAAAAAATGTCATTGGATAAATGGTCATTAGTTAATTATAAGTTATCAAATGTTAATAAAATTTTGAACTCAAAAAAGTGGAATAACATTTACTTTGTGAACAATTTCTCCATTAAATGTGATCATTGGTTGGGAACTTTAATTGATTCAATTTCCAGTATTACTGACTACAAGCTAATTCTTGAAAACAAAAATCTGTTTTACGAAGTATCTAAAGGTTTTGGAGTTTTGACATATAGATTGTTCAAACATGTATTTGAATCAAATAATCAAAATGAAGAAATTATGGTATATAAAGATGAAATGTTTGAAGAAATTAAGTCAAAATTGGATAAAACTGTGAATTGCTGGTTAGTTTTTGTTTTTATTAATGAAATATTAATTCAAATACTATCTAATCACGTAATTAATGATTTATTATTAAAAAGGCTTACAAGAATTTTAAGTGATTGGTTAAATAAAAAAATGGATAATTATGATGCATGTTCATTTAATTCTGAGGAAACTTACAGATTAATTAATTTAGAAGTTGAAAAATTGGTAATTAATTTATTAGTCCTTACAAAAGAAGGGAAAAACAAAATAGATTCACAAAGCATTGAAAATAAGGAAAATAATAAATTGTTTAATTATAAAGGAAAAAATAAAATAATATATAATAAAACTTTGAGATATTATTTATTTAATGAGATCGGCAATTTTGAGAATAATTATACTGAATTAAAAAGGTTATGTGATAAAATTTTACAAGATTATTGTGATTCAAATATAATTAAGAATGAAAGTAAAATTGAAAGCTTATATTCCGATTTATTTTCAATGATATATGTTACTGGTAGTGATCTAAATTTATTAAAAAACCCAAATTCAAATGATTTTTCAATATCAATTGGAAAATTTAAATATTTCTTTAGTAGAAGTAATGAAAGTAATAATAGGGCTGAGAATGAATTCCAATTAAATTCAAGTCAAAATATTTACAGCAAAATAATTTCAATCATTATGAACTGTAATAATAACAACACAGGAAAATACTTATTCGAATTGACTAAGCTTAAAATAGACGACTTCACTTGTGGAGGAAATATTCAAAATTCGTTTTTACAAGTAAACTATACAAATAAAGAGATTAAGTCAACTGATTTAAGTAAAAATGCACCATTGGATAATATCGAGGAGTTATGGCCGGAAGTCATACCTCTAACGGATAATTGTTACAATCAAGTAAATTTAAATAATCCAGATAATCAAGAAAAGGTATTAAGAGTCAATCAGATAATAACGGAATCATTTGCAGATATTTATCCTTTAAATCCATATATTGACAGAGATTCATATAATTACCCTTTGATACTAGTTCCAGTTATTTCAAGTATGAATAATTTGAATATTAAAAACATTATCAATAGTTTTTCTTCAAATTCTATCCATTTGATATTGATGTTAAGTCTAATTGAATGCACAAACTTTGATAAGTATGAACCAGTAAAGTTGGAAAATCCTAATTTAGTTAAATATTTAACAGAACAAACTAAAAAAGAAGAGTCTATTATAGATTTGGAAAATCATATTAAAGAAATTAAGAAACTTTTAATGTGTAAAAAGCTTTCAAAAGAAAGTGGAATTTGGAATAAATCAATGCATGAATTACAAATTCACAATTTGCAATCATTATCTATATTAATAAGAATCTTACATTACTCAAGAGAGAACAAGCTAATGATTTACGAAAAGAGAAATCAAAATAAGCACTCTCTGGATTTTGTATTAGACAACATTTGCGTATATTCTATTTTGGTATCAAATATATTGGAAAATCACCCCAACACTTTGGTTAGATTTGTATGCAATTTAATAATTTCTCAAATATTCAAGTTCCCAACTGTTTTCAGAACAAATATAAAAGACTATATCGTGAAGTCATTAACAAATTCATCAAATAAAGATAACAACAAAGGTTTAAGAAAAATGTCGTCTATTTTAAAATTAAAAATTTTAACACTAAATGATCATATTTACTAGCAATAAATAATAATGTCTATAATAAATTAAAATTAATTTTTGATATTGTTTTCTGCAAAATATCAATTAGACTTTAATTATATACTTTGTTTTTTTAACTTTCTATTCGCCTGTTTTGACTTTTTTAAATAATCTTGAGTAAGGTGTCGCCTATATTCTCTCCAATTTTCTTCGATAAATTTTGAATCTTTCTTTTCATATATCATTGGAATTCTATTAAAGGCATCAGGATTCATAAGCTCAAATATTTGTATATCTTCGGATATTTTTTGTTCTAAAAAACTTTTTTCATTCTGTGTAGAATTTATACCATTACCTTCCTGAGAAAATACAGATTTTTCTGTTGAAAAAAACTCTTTTTGCCACTCTTCAATATCAATATTTTGAGTTGCATTCATTGTATTATTGTATTTAAATAAAAATTGTTAAATAAAAAATTATAAAAATTAGATTGTTGGTTGGCGCCAACTTTATTTATTTGCAAAATTCATTTGTGACATTTTGAGAAATGTAATGGAAAAAATTAACTACTATTTTAAAGCCTTATCTCAAGAGCTAGAGCTACTGAATAGAATTATATACAAGTTTAAGAATCAGCATGGAAGGTTAGGCTATTTCAAGAGTATCTTTAGGATTACAAAAGAACTCAAAATTTTTTGTATTGCTTTACAAGAAACTTTTTATAATAAAAATTCAACAGAAAATGCTGAAAATTATTATAAAAATCTTAGAGATCTTAGGAGGATAGTTCGCAGAATTAAGTGGGATCTTAAGGACGCAGGTACATCCATTTCCAGACTATTATCTCATGGCTTTTTTTTGCCAATGGTTTTTCTTCTTTTTTCCACCTTAAGTAGAGTATTTTCAGTGATAATTAATATTAAAGTTACTATTGATAGTACGATTCCTACTATTCCATTTAAGCCAAGTAATGTAAATCAAAATGTCCACTCATCTACTAACGATAATAAAAGCAATTACAATAATGGTAAAAAAAGTACAAATTTAAATTGCAGAAATTCCGAATTATCGCATTTCGGATATTTTAATGAAGAAGATGATGATTTGGGAGAAATCGTATCCTACAATTCATTGATTGAGAATAGTAATACTATTCACAACCACGAAAATGATACTTTATCAGTAGCTAATAATAATGATAACTTAGAGTCTAATTCTGGAGTAAAGGATTTATTAGTTGATTCAACTTCAGAACAAACAGTAAATAAAGAAATTTGTACTTTAAATAGCTTAGAAAATAATACCGAACCTCACAATAATGATATGAATGAAAGTTTAAGTATTGAACCAATTGCTAATGAAGTTAATGTATTTAAAAAGCTAATTAGAGCGTGGAATATCCATATGATTTTACGTTCCAAAAGGAGAAAGCTTGTCATTTAATAGTGCAAAATTTCATTAAAATGTTTTTCAAAATTTAGGCGCCAATAGTTTTATATTTAATTTTACTTATTAAAATTGTATTCATTCTTTTTACTTTCAAATCTATTATTCAAAAATGAATTTTCTTATATTAAGCAGATAGATCATAAAGATGGTAAGTTTATTATATACTGTTCATCTCACTCTAGAATTATTTACACTTTCTTTTCTTGACTTCACGATTTATTAGTCTTCGTTACAGGAATTATTCCTAAAAGATCTAGAAGATCTTGATTGCGCAGAAACTAGTGGCCTTAATAATAAAGATAATATATCTGAAAATACCAGATATAGCGATACTGAACTCATTAATAAAATTAGTAACCTAAACGAACAAATATTTGGCAATATAGAAAAATCATCTATTATTGACCCGAATTTAAATAATCGATTGCTAGATACTGATGATAAAATTTATAATGTATTTCAGGAAATTATAGACATGATTGGAATGATTGATTCCAAAATTTCAGAAAAATATGAACATGTTAAAGCCTTATACAAGGATTACTTTAGTGAACTCTCTAGTATAATAATAAACAAAACAGACTACTTGGAAGTTGTGAAAAGAATAATTTCTCATGAAAAGTTTGAAGACGTAAAACTTAATGACATTTTACCAAATTCCACAATTATGACAATTACAATTTCTTCTAATACAAACAAAAGAAACACTCCAACATTGGAAAAAAAAAAATCCATTATAGAATGCATTAATTTTGTTAATCAAATTAATGGAAGTAAATCAAAAATACTCATGTTTTTACAGTCTCAAATAGAAGCTATTGCTCCAAATCTTTCCGCACTAGTTGGCCCTGAGATTGCTGCTAATCTATTATGTATTTCAGGAGGGCTAAAAAATTTAGCAGAAATGCCATCACAAAATATTATGATACTTGGAAGCTTAAAAAATAACAAAAAAAATGGTCATTTTTCTACTGGCCCAGTGAGGTTAGAATTGCTACAAAGTATTGTTTCACAAAGCGACATCGTTAGAAACGTTCCAGACAAGTACAAAAAGAAAGCGATAAGACTTGTATCTTTGAAATGTGGGCTATGTGCAAGAATAGATCTCACTAGTGCAGAAAAAATCCCTGATCACGGCATTAACTATCGTAGCTATATACTTGATATTTTAGAAAAAGCTCAAGAACCTCCTCAAAAGCCCATGAAAAAGCCACTTCCAATTCCAAAAGATTTTCCAAAATCCAGGAGAGGTGGAAAAAGAATTAGAAAAATTAAAGAAAAATTCAAGCAAACTAAAATTAGGAAAGAGATGAACAGAATGAAATTTGGAGAAGAAGAAGAAGAATATACAGTGGATGGAAAAACTATTGGTTTGGGATTATTAAGTGCCGGAAGTGGTAGAAGAATCAGAGGTCTTCAGGTTGGAAGTTTGAGAAACCCGAATTCAAACAGTAAAAGTGGAGTACTATCTGGTGGTGATTCTAAATTGGGAAATAGCAGTTCTATTTCATTTACTCCTTATCAAGGAATGATATTTTAAGAAATATTTCCATAGAATAAAATATATATATAGTTTACTAAATCTAAAAAATTAAATTAGATAAAATTGCTATTTTGCTGTTTGAATATACACAAAAATACATATTTCTTATTTACAATATTAAATTCCTTTAAGTTATTAAAATTCTTATTATGTATAGATATTGTTATTGAAAGGTCTAGGAAATAATATCACTATACAACTTTAACAAATTTATCTTGATAGCATAAAAGAAATTATTCGAATTACAAATTGTTAAAATACAAAAAAAAATGTTAATGCATGTTGAATTATAATATATTTTTAAAAAAAATTATTGTAAAATATTACCGGTTTATTATTTGTAACTCCGGTATAAAACAAATATCTGTAATGTCGCAAGTATAAAGAGGGAAAAATCAGTTATTAATTATTGATAAATAGATAAATGAACTATAATTAAAATTAAATGATTATTTATTAATTTATGGGAAAAATGGCAGATCCTGATTTGGGAGAAATGCTTAATAGCAAAAAACCAATTGTACTATTAAACGATGCATATTGGGAACCAAAAGTAAAAGAATGGGTGCCTAATTTAAAGATAGATGAATTAGATGAAGAACAGAAAAATATCATTGAACAAAAATTATTCGTTGTTGTTCTAACCCCAAGTAACATATCTAGATGTGCAACATGTGGAAGAACAATAACAAAGGGCACGTATAGATTAGGTGTACCCGAATATGATAGAAGAGGAATGTATGGGATAATAAATAGATGGAATCATATTAATCCTTGTTCACAAAAATATCTTAAAAAAGCAATTCAAGGCTATGAATTCAGTTTGGATGAAATTGAGGAGAGAATTTCAGAAGTTATTTCTGGCTGGAGTTGTTTACCTATTGGAATAAGAGACGAATTTCTTGATTTGTGCACAAAAGAAGTTATTGCAGATTCTAATGAATTTAGCATTGAAAATTCGGATGATCTTATTAGTCGTTCTATTGTAGAAGTAAAACCCACCCCCATAAACCTTACATATGAATTATTACAATTTCAAAAAGAAGGCTTAGCATGGCTCTGTAACCAAGAAAAATCAATTGCGAGAGGAGGTATTTTAGCTGATGAAATGGGTATGGGAAAGACTATTCAGACGATATCTTTGATTTTAGAACATGATATCCCTCCAATTACTAATAAAATAGAAAAGGGAGAAATCATAGGAAAAAATTTGGTAATCGCTCCTGTTGCAGCAGTACTACAATGGAAACAGGAAATTGAAAGATTTACCAAACCTGGTTCTTTAAAAGTTCATGTTTACCATGGCTCAAAAAGAAATAAGAATCATGGGAGTAAAGGAACAAAACAAGATTATGGTGGAGTTGACATTGATGATGCTGATGTAGTAATTACAACTTATCCCACATTAGAGGCTGAGTACAGAAAGATTGTATCAGCTTTCAAATCTAAATGCTCTTATTGTGGTAGGTCATTTTTGAAAAGAAATCTAAAAATTCATCTTAAATACTTTTGTGGTCCAAATTCTATGAGAACGGCAAAACAAGCTCTTACTGAAAGAAAAAATGAGGGTTTAAAAAAAGCCATGAGAACTTTGAAAATTGGATTAGAGGAAGGCGTTGATAAGGCAAAGCAGCTGGAAGACATTGCTCGAAGCTTACCAACAATTTCTAATGTCTATAGGGAAATATTGGCCAAAGCTGATTTACTTGATGATGACTCATTATCTTCAGCCCTGCCCTGGTTTACTTCCAGAAGATCAAGAAACCAAAAATTAGTTAAAGAAGAAAATTCTGATAACTACTTAAAGAAAACTGATAAAAAAGAAAAAGTACAAAAGTCTGGAACAATAAAAGAGGAAAAACCAGAAGAGAATTTAGTGTCTTTATTGGAATGGGGAGGACTTAAACTTCCACTAAAATCAGAGACAGTGAAATCTATTAAAGAGTTTCTTTCAAATATTGAAAATAGCAAGGAATATTTATCCACCAGATTCGATATTAGTGTACAAATTTTGGATGACTTAATTGAACTATATAATAATTGTAAATCCATTCGAAAGGCTGAGCTTGTGGAAAAACTATCAAATATATTAAGACTGAGTTCCCCTAACTCTGAGTCTATTAAGGTAAATAATTTGGATTTAAATATTAAGAAAGGCTCTAACACTACTTGCAAAAGTAATAAAAGAGTAAATATGAAAACTTCAAATTCTAAGACAAAAAAGAAAAAGTACAACGATGATTTTGATGATTACAGCATTGAAGAGGAATCAATCGATGAATATACTGAAGACTATAGTGAATCTGAAGATGAACAAGGTTTTAACACAAAAGGTAAAAAGAATGCAAAAAGCAAAAGAAAAAGACAGGTTGATGACGATGAATATCAAGTAGTGGAAGAAGTTGGTGAAATTGATGATGAAGAAGATGATAATGAGGAGGAGGAAATTATTCAAAAGCTAAGAAAACATTCCGGTATTTTTGAAAGAAGCTGGAATCGTATTATTTTAGATGAAGCACATAGAATTAAGGCAAGAACAACTTCCACTGCAAAGGCAATATTTGCCTTAAAATCAAGAGGAACAAAATGGTGTCTTACTGGAACCCCTCTTCAAAACAGGGTTGGCGAACTTTATTCTCTTGTTAGATTTATTGGATTCCACCCATATGCTTATAATTTTTGTCAGAAAGAAGATTGTGATTGTAAACAATTAAATTATGTTACCCATTCAAAATATTGTCCGTTTTGTGGGCATTCAAGATTATCCCATTATTCATATTTCAATAAGTTAATTATTAATCCAATTAAACGATACGGTTTTTCAGGAGAAGGTTCTGAAGCCTTAAGAAGGCTTAAAGAAGAGGTATTAGATAAAGTTTTGTTAAGAAGAACAAAAGTACAACGTCAAGAAGACGTCAAACTTCCACCATTAGAAATTAAGGTAATTCATAAAGAGCTTTCTGCACCAGAAAAAGATTTCTATACTTCTTTGTATCAAAGATCTAAAGTTCAATTTGACACATATGTTAATCAAGGAACAGTTTTACATAATTATGCCCACGTTTTTGATTTGATTAGTCGTCTTAGGCAAGCTGTTGATCACCCATATCTAATAGTTTATGGAAAATTTAATCACAAAAGTGATCTCGAATACAAAAAAGAATATAAAGAAATGGGTAATGACGAAGATAAAGATAACCAAAGCATAAATGATGAAGAGGAAAAAGTAGATATAATCTCAAATAAAGTCATGCCTTCAAAAAGCAGAGCTGACAACAATGAAGATTTATGTTACATTTGTATGGATAATGTTACGATTGACCAAAGAGTTACAAGTAAATGCAAACATGGATTCCATATTAAATGCATAAAAGAATACATTGAACAGGCTCCACAAGAAGATGAAATAATTTCTGACTTTGAGACGGAAAGTAACCAACTAATGAGAGGTGTTCTTGGGTGCCCTGTTTGCTACGTTCCTCTCACAATAGATCTTAATAAGATTTCAAACTTGGGTATAAGAAATAAAAGAACCAAATCTGATTTTAGTGAGATTAATGACGAAGAAAATGATACTAATGACAATATGGAGTCTGAGCATATGCAAGAACAAATTGAAAGAGAACTTGAAAGAATTGAAATGGCTAAACAATTAGGTATTAATGTTAACGAAGAAAATTTTAAACAGGAGCAAAAAGAAAAAAAAGAAGATATCTTATCTTGTGTTAGAAATAAATTTATTACTAGACAAATTAAAACTCAAGGATTTGAAAGTTCTACAAAAATTGATACACTATTAGAAGAAGTTAATAAAATGATACAAGAAGACTCTGAGGCTAAGGGTATCGTATTTTCTCAATTTACAAATATGCTCGACCTAGTTTCCTACCGCTTAAAAAAAGCAAATATTGGATGTGTCATGCTTGCTGGCTCTATGTCAATCCTACAAAGAAATAGCATATTGTATTCATTTAATAAATTCCCAGATCTTAAAATCATCTTGATTAGTCTCAAAGCTGGCGGTGAAGGTCTCAATTTACAGGTTGCTAATTACGTTTTTCTACTTGATCCTTGGTGGAATCCTGCCGTTGAATTACAAGCATTTCAAAGGGCTCATCGAATTGGGCAAAAGAAAAAAGTTACTGCATTAAGATTTATTACAAAAGATACTATTGAAGAAAGAATGTTCCAACTACAAGAAAAGAAACAACTTGTTTTTGATGGTACTGTTGGAGCATCTAATAATGCTCTTAACAAACTTAATTCCGATGATCTCAAATTTTTGTTCCAAAATTAAATTAATTTATATTCTTTAATATTCCAGTTTATTATTTTTCAAGTAATAAAACAATCTTTAGAATCCGATTTTGCTTTGAGTAAAAAAAATTTTTTTGTTCTTAAATAAGAAAATTTGCAAATCCAAAATATTTTGCTATAAATTTAACTTGAAGTTTGAATAAATTGAATTGATATAAAAAGAGTGAGGTTCAGTAATTTTTTGTTCGAATAAATTATAAATCTTATTATTTCATTTCTTGAAAATTTGATTTTTAATTCTACTGTTTAAATAAGTAGTTCTACAAAGTTTTTCTTTTAATCTTCTTTTAGATCTTTATAACCTTAAAATAATAACTCTAATCAAAAATTAAATTCATTCAATACATCATCCTCATTTGTATTGGACTCAACTCCAGATAGGATTGTGGTATTGTTGCCATGACTAACAGTAGAATTATTGGATGACAACTGTTTAGTTCTCATTGTTTCTTTGAATTTTAGTTGCAAATTAAGAGTTTTGTGATCATCATTATTTGATAATAAGAAGTCGTCATACTCTTGGTAAATCTTTAATAATAATCTTTCTACTAGTTTTCTTGCATTAATGTATTGTTCAGAATTTGTGGAAGAAATACATAAATGTAATGGCTCATCCGCTTCTTGTTTATTATAACCTTCCAAATACCCAGAGCCCTTACCTCTCAATCTAAGTTTTGATTGAGTTAACTTGAAGATTCTTTTCATATTAATCCCTCTTGTTCCAATAATTCTTCTTGCAATTTGAAATTGGTTATCAGGTGGTATTTGTATCTCATATCTTGCAGTATACTTCTTTAACATAACTGAGGAATTTTGGCAAGATGTTACAGTTACTGGAGAGGAAGATGAGGCTGAAGATGAAGATGAGGCAGTAGAAGTTGGAGATTGATTTGAAGTAATGATTGATGTCAAGTTTCCAGTAGTGCTCCTAATCTCCACTGGATCCGAGTTAACTTCATCTAATTTACCAATCATTTTGGTTAACTTAAAAGCATTAATATCTTGATTATTGGGTTTATTCCCAATTGAATTATTTGTATTAATCAATAAATTTTCGTTGTTTTGGCCATTTGAGTTTTGATTAATCGTTTTTACCAAATTATTTTTATTTAAATTGGATCCAACTATTGAAGAATAAGTAATAGTATTTATTTTATTATTAGTTAATGCACTAGTATTAATTGTAATTGTGTTATTTAAATGTCCATTATTATTATTATTATTATTATTGTTATTATTATTATTATTGTTATTACTATTGCTATTATTATTTTTATTATTATTATTATTATTAATGTTATTGTTAATACAATTACTATTAATAATATTTTGGAATTCATTTTGGGCATTTTGTTTAACTGTATAGTTTTCTTGGCCAATCTGGTCATCGCCTATTTCAATTATATCTTTTATTTGAATATTAGAGTTATCACAATTTTCATTAAGAATACTACTAGAAATTGAATTCTGATTACTCTTGTTGTCTTGTAGCCAAGCTGTCCAAAGATTTCTCTCATAAGTAGTTATTGAACTGTCAAAGCTATTCCATGGTGAATTTGTTGAGGTATTTGTGGTAGTTGAAGCTCCTGATGCACTAATTGCTGTATTTGAACGGCAAGATGTAGAAGCACTTGTAGTTGTGTTACCGAAAATCCCAATATTATCAACGTAATTTATTGTATTACACATTTCTTTAATATTGGGAAAGTTTGAGGAACTAAAATCATTACTCCATTTATTATTTATAGGATTCATTGATCTATCTAGTCCGCCGATCATTGTGTTTGAAGTCTGATGTATATATGCATGAATAAAGTCTCCATCTGACGATATTTGCAGATTTTGAAGTGAATTTAAGGCTCTTTCTAAAGACTCTCTGTTCTCATAAGTGACACAATGGCATTCGTTATTAATATTTATATCAATTATGTTACCAAATTGCGAGCACAAATTCATTATATCATAAGTATTTAAATGAATGTTAGATATTTGCTTCTTGTTTGAATTCACTAGCTTAAAGACTCTCAGACCCAAAACATATTGGTTTAGAGCCAAATTTGAGTTTGATAATGAGGATGAACAATTGGTTCCCGAAGTTTGTAAAATAGTCTGTTGGCATGAAGTTGATGTAGGAGATGAAGAAATACTGTTTGTAAAGTTGTATTTACAAGGTTCATCTCCAGAATTAATTTGCTCCAATGTTTCATCATCTAAACAAGTCTTGCTTAATGCATGACTCAATACATCTAAGATCCCATCATCTTCTTCGAGAAATATGTTTTCATCTTTCAACCGGTACATTTTATTTGTATTTGCTTCCATATAATTTTGTTCAATTAAATTGTTACTCCAGCATGAAGACGGCTGTGTATTAAGCATTGTATTGCTAAATTTTGAGCTTTGAAATTTATCAACTCCTTCATATTGAGATGCTTGATTCTGGTATAAATCAGAGTAAGACATTAAAAATTTTGGAATATCATGATATACTTGTTCGTTTGGTATGAAAGACTCTTTTAAAATTGGCATTTCTTTTTCAAATTTCATTTCTAACCCATTTAAATTGATATTTCCTAAATCTCCTCCCATTAACTGCGATGAATAGAGTCTTGAATTATTAATGTTAATATTTTCGTTAGTATTTATTTTATCTTCACCCTTAGATTGCCAACTTTGCTCAAAAATTTCACTCTGTTTAAATGAATCATATTCTAATGGTTTAAAAGTATCCTGCAATGAGCTAAAACTCATGCTTTGTTGTTTCTTTAACATAACCTTAGAATATTCTATTACTGCTCTTCTTTCCTTATTAATATTTTTAATATTTACTTTAATTTATTCCAGATCCTTTTAGCATCATATAAATTTGTTCTAGTAATAACTCTTTATAATAAATATCAACAATATCTCTTCTGCAATACATGCTTAACCGCAAAACTCGTAAATTTAGTTTGCATTCAATAAAATGCAATCCCCCACGCGCATTTATTACTTTCCTCACAGTAAAACAATTCAATGTGCAATATCTTGCATTTTGCAATTTGGCGCAATTTTTACCTCATATCTTGATTGTTTTTTAAGCCCACTGAATAATTATACGAGAAATTATTTCAAAATGAATATTTTTACTCGGATCATTATCTTTAAAATCCAATATACTTAAAGTTTTTTCCAGCTTTTAATATTTTAAAAATAAATAAAGATACTATATTAATATAAACTACATGTCATATTATACAATAATAAAAGAACAATCACAACTTTAAGCGGGCACTATTTGTCTTATATTAGTAACATTTGTGTAGAATAAAAAATGGCTAATAATGGAAGATGAAGATATTAGTATAACTGGATATTTAAGGAAGAACTTATTTAAATATTTGATTTCATTTTTAATATACATTCTTTCTGGGTATTATTTAGGAACTTCGTAAGTTTTATTCGCACACAGATATAATAAATTGTAATGTTGAGTTATTACTATCTCAAAATTGCAGTTTTTCAGACAAAAATATTACGAAATATATTCATTAATTGATTTATTTTAGAGGAATAATAATTGTGACAATAATTGGTTTATTTCTAAATACCTCCTCCACCCCAAGAAATGAGAATCAATTGAGCGCATATGGAATTTTAAATCCAGGTATGTTTTAATAGTAAAAAAACCGTGAAAGTATTGCAATAATTGATTATAGGGTTCCGTAGAATACTTGGTGACTTAAGATTGTATCAATTAGAAAGACAGCTTTTCAATAGATACATAGAAAGCGATGTAGAAGAGGAAGAAAAAAATGACGAAAATTCTAAAGAAAAGTACAGTGACGATGAAATGAACTATCCAATATCTAAATTCTCAAACAAAAAATGTCCTAAATGCAATTCTGGGAAAAAGTACAAGAAATGCTGTGCATTGTTATTAAAAAATTAGAAAATGAGTTAATTAACTATCTAAAAATATTATTATAAGCTGTCTACTAAATTTTGTATATAATCTTTTGTGCTATAAATTGAAAACTGATCGAGATTTGTCTGTTTTGCGTACGATAGTTCTATTAGATCGTTTTCTGAAGTAAATACTGCTTCATTAAAGGACCAAACATGAAGTCCATTTAAAGTGTCAGTACTAACTACAGTCCAAGAATCATCATTAGGGCTGAATAACCAATGTGAGTCAGTAATTTGGCCAGTATGGCCAGAATGTACTCCTATTAGTTCATTCGGGCCATCTGACTTTTCATTTTTTGTCCAATTTGAAGAGTTGTTATTTATCAAAAGTTTTAGTGATCGCTTTATATCAACCTCTTGGTCCATTGAATTATCAGCAGATTTATTAGAGCTTTCTAAGCTCTTTTTAGAATTGTTTGGGGATGAATTTGAGATAATGTTGTTCCGAGAAACACGATTATTATTTGATTCTATCTGATCCCAAATGGGCATGTTGCTGCATCTAGTAATATCCCAGATGCAAGCTTTTCCATCCAAACTTGAAGAAAGTAAAAGGCCATTTCCTCCTGAATGCCATTCAAGTCTGTGTACAGGCTCGAAATTATATTTAAACTTGTTAATTATACCTTTATTATGAGAAGATAAACTGTTAATTTGTTTATTGTTCGAAAAACATCTTAAGTCAATTATATAAATGTTACCATCATAACCTCCTACACTTATTAAATTTGATACAGTTGGATGAGCAGATATTGAGACACAAGGAGAATCCGAAATACTCCATTTATTAACAGGATTATTTTCATTTGAATTTGAATTCTTCAAGTTACATCTATAATCGTATATTGAAAGAAAACCTTGATGGTTTACTGTTGAAAATATATTTGGAGTTAGAGTTGGGTTAATCCAGCATAAATCATTAATTCCGCAACTTATATTATATGATTGATCTTTAAATATTGCTTCACATGTATTTACATCGAATATATACATTGAGGAATCTTCGTTTCCTGAAAGCAACCAATTGGAGTTAGTTGTTCCCCATTCCATTCCATATCCGGACTTTCCAGAATTATACTCATGATTTAAAATGGTACTATTTCCGTGATCTGAGCTATATAAAGTAACTATTTCATATTCTTCTTCTTTATTATTTGATGCCCTTGCTCTAACTTTGAATGTCTCATCATAAATTTCGTTAATCCCAATGTTATGAAACCATATTTCACCTCTTAGCATTTTTGAAGCAACTAAAATCCTATTCTTAGATTCATCTATTCGTGAACAAATCTTGATTGGATCATCATTTACAACTATTTTAAAAATAGAATTAATATCAGGAGGTAGATATTTAGGTTTTTCTAATTTTTTTTTAGAACTATCATCTGATAGGCCATCGCATATTAAGAGATCATTATCAAAATTTGGAATATCTAACATAGAAATTGTTATATACTTTTCTTGTGAACTCAAATCAGCCATTCTTCCTTCAGTGCTAGATGAAACTGAAGTTGAGTAAGTTCCATAAATCAAAAGTTGTCCATATAAACTTATCTCAGATTCATGCTCAGTATCTGAATTTTTTTTTTCAATTTCCATGTTTTCACTATTAAACCTTACAGGAGGAATACTAAAAGTCAATGTTGGCCACCTAAGCGGTGTTATAAAAAGGTAATCATAAATAAAAGGGACATTTTTCTTCCAAAGCCAGTGCTCTTGTATTTTCGGGTGATCGTTCAAACTATCCATATATTAATATTTATAATTCTAAAAGGTTATTTTATATATTTTATTTCCATCAAATTATTTTCTAATTTTTTAAAAATAATTATAATTTGCGAAATATTAATAATACCGGTATCGTCAAAACAACATAATAGTAGCGAGAAACAATAAATATTAAAATATAATTTTTAAAAAATATTTAAAAAAAAGATTATTTAAACAAAATAAGCCTTTAAATATAGCTGTTTTTTAAATAGTTTTTACAAAATTGACAATATTAACAAAAAAACATAATGAAAACCTATTTATACTTGCTTAATATATATTCTTTCAATATATAATTAAACAGTTAAAATGAGTAAGAGTTTATCAATTTGTGTAATATTATTAAATAAAGAATTTAATCCATACGATAACTTCTCAAGATATTCCATTTCGATTTGAGTTAGGTGTTTAGATCTTATTTCAAAATTCAGAATTTGATTATTTTGAATTTTGCATCTTGTTAATATATTCAGTAGAATTCTATAAAATTTAAGTTGTACTTCCCTATTTGTACTTTCAAGGCATGCACTATAAAATATCCCATGTTTACTAAGGGAAGCTTGCGAAATAGTACTATAAGAAGTTTTGTTTGTTTGAGAAGAGTTTGGGCTTATAGGATCCACCATTGGAAGTTTGGATGAATTAGATGAATCATTATTTGAATTAACAGTCGAATTATCAATTGTTACTGTATCTGAATTGTGAACTCGAATAAATTTTTCGCTTCCCAGAGAATAAAGTAGATTTCTTGCAATATTATTGGGTAATAAACACTTTTCAGCTAAAGTAACGTCATCCCAATAAACTCTCTTTTTAATATCATACTTTGGGAATGGTACAAAGATTTTTGAACATCTGGTCGACTCAGATTCGGAAAGAGAAGATTTTGTTTTTCCAAAGTCTATTACTTGAATATTATCACACCTGGATGTTAGATGCGGATTACACATCATACTCCAAACTCTTGAGCCAAGGTGGCCGACTCTATGTGCGATATATTCATATAAAACTTTGTATTTTATTATTGACTTAATTTTTGAAATGTTCAACCTGTATATAGTGCCAGTTGAAGATAGATTATAAGAAATGAACTCATCAGAGTGTTTAGTTAAAACATCAATTACTCTCAATACAGAAGATTTGAGTTTTGAGTCGTCAGAAATATCAAGATCACTTTTTAGAGCCTGATTAAGTTCTAAAAGCTCAAATATTTCATTAGATATTTCTTCTATGGTCCAGCCTTCGTCAATAGATTTTCTCTTTAGGCTTTTACTATCTGACATAACACGCACTATTAAAGAGGAAAGTAAATTATTGTATCTAGTTTTCACCATTTCTTCAATAACTTGACTATAGAGAGAATTGTTTAGACCAGAAATATTTATTGATAATATTTTATTTTTTATTGAATCAATTAAATATCCATTATTAGTTTTTGAAATATTTTTTTTAGTTTCAATACCTGAAAAATTATCTTGATTAATATTAAAGTCAGATCCCTGAAAATTAGAAGTAATTGATTCTGAATTAGAAAAACATTCGTCATTGTAATCGAACAATAAATCTGTAAATGCGGTACCTGAAGATTTCTTACCATTATTCTTGTCAGATTCAGCCAAATTGATTGTTTGGTTCTTATCATTTATAACGATTAAGAAATCATATTTAATGAGCATATTGATATTCTCTTCTATATTTTCAAGTGCTTCAGAAAGTTCTGAAATTAGAATTTTAGTAGATATTCGCCCATGCTTGATTACTTCCATGAAGATGTATTTGCATGTCTCTCCCAATAATTTTTCTATATGGGCCATATATAATGGAAATCTTAACCTTGAAATTATACTATCAATATTTACCTCAAAAACAACATTTTTTTCTTTATCTGAGTTACCTAATACTATATTTGGGTCTGCTACTTCGTAATATATTATACAGGAGTGATGAACCAAATACATCATGGAATTTCTGAAACAAGAAAAGTTATCTTTGCTATTTGAAGAAAAGTGCTTGGATGTTTCCTGATCCTTCAGAACCAAATAATACAATCTGTCCATTGGTAGTGGCCCATTTACTACTAATTTTCTAATTATTATTGCAGGTAGTCCTCCAAAATGAGTATTAATAATTTCACATAAAAGTTCTATATCTTCCCTCATTTTTTAGACTCAAATGAATTAACAAACCTTAAAAAATCTTTTTACCCATATAATGTCAATTAATCAATAATCCTCCCAATACCAAAATTTTTTTTTTGCATTTTTATTAAAATTGACAAATTTTTAGCAGTTATTAATACTTGGCGCTAAATGTGTAATAACTTTTTGGCAAAATTTCCTTCAATTATCAATAATCAAAATATTATTACCAGTCATTTGGGAATCAAGTGAATTTTATAAATAATCTTCTAAATACCAATAATGTTCATTTCTATATACAGTCTCATGTAATGCATTAACAAAAATTATAATTGTATATCTTAAATCCATATGATTTCTTTATTCGTAACCTCACTTTACTAACTCTATTGTTAAGGCAATTTCTGACTTTTAAATACTTAAAATAAGTAAAATATTGATTATTATTCTAACAAATGCCGTTTCTATAACAATAATTGCCTTAAAATTAAATAAAACTTACTTGCAATTGTTTAATGGAAAGAGTTATTTATTTCTAACAGATTTTTGTCTTAGCTGTTTAATGTCAAATCTTTCTAGAATGACAAAGTAGACAAAGTAAAATAGACTAAATGATGTGATAGCAAGTATGAATGTTATTGTATATGTTCAATTCTTTAATTAATTTTTTTTAAAAAGCCAGAATAAGTAGTCAGTTTTTTTTCTAAAGAGAATTTGAAATAATAATCTATTTAATTCCTTTCTTTTTAAACATAACAAGAATCCAAATTATTAAAAGATACATTCAGTTAGAAATCCAAAAATAAAATGACTTAAATCCCCTTTTTACAATTAATTCAAAATTTGTTTTTAAAAAAAATATCTGAAACATGTAAATAAGATTATTTTTGGAATCTCATTAAATAGCTTAATTCAAATTCAAGACTATAATTTCTTTTGTAATGTTCTCTTGGAATTAATAGCTTTCAAATCATTTCGAATTTTTGTTGTGTCTTGAGATTATCAAACGTGTGCAATATTATTCAACCAATAAATCCTGTAAAATACCTCTAATAAATATACCATATAAAACTAACCTATTTGTTAATTTACTCATTGAATATTTGATTGTTACTCTCCACCTTTTTATAGACACAATAAATTATAAATTAGTAATAAAAAATAAATTTGTGAATTTTATTTCCAAAATACCTGCACTAATAATTAATATAATTATATTAAGCTTTCATTTCCAAATATATTTCATTTCATAATTCTACATGCTTAACATATTCATAATTTTGTCATTAACAAAACAATGCAGAATGGCGCCAATGATTAATTAATGTTTCTGACATTAAATCTTTTTTTATATTCAAAAAAGAATGAACAGATCAGAATCTAAGCAGAGAAGAGGAGAACTTGTTCAATTTTACTTTCCATTTAATGGAAATAGCCCAGTTTACTTGGAGGTAAGTTTGTTTTTTATATCTTTAATCTTTAATATTTTTTTCATTTTTTTTCACGTTAATAGATAATGGGTAGAATTAACAAACAAACTGATAACACTGATAAATCCGAGACTTTCAATATTAATAATGAAGAAAAGGGTTTATTATTATATAACGTGCCTATTTTTCTTACTAAAGATTATATTATTAATATTTTTGAGAAGTTTGGTTCTATTAAAGAGGTAAGTTACAAATTTATTTTATCAAGTATTCCTAATATTTCTATTAACTACAGATAACTGTAAATCATTATGATTCTAATGGGAATGGGCTGGAAATTAAAAACTCAACAATCAATACAGAAAATTCTTGGGTATATATTATTTTTAACGAAAAGGATTCAATACAAAAAATAAAGGATGATTCAATTAAAAAGTGTGCTAGTTCTATAAGAAAGCTATATATTAATGATCATGATAATGGTTTATTGGATAGAAACGATTTAAGATTTAAAAATATTCTTACGAGAATTACTAATAAAAGAGCAAATGCGGTTTTGCTTCAAAAAGAAGTCAATTCATATATGACTAACTATGATATTGAAAAAGAAATAGAGGAAGAGAATTTAAAGTTAGAGTCAACAATCCCAGATGAAGATGGTTTCATCAAAGTTGTTAACAAGAAGCAGAAAGCACCGGATGGAACGGTTATTCACAGCTTTGAACCAGAAAGGAATTTACAAGGGTTTAAAACAAAGAAACAAATTAACAAAAAGGAAAAAAAGAAAGTATATGAAGATTTCTATAGGTTCCAAATAAGGGAAAATAAGAAGAAAGAAATACAAAAACTTAATTATTCTTAATACGCAATTTTATAGCAAATTATTCAGTTTTTCTTTTACTATATTTTGCATAATATTAATCAGTATTACTTTTTTGTTTCTTCCAAATTTGAGAATTTGTTTCATCTAAAAGAGGTTTGGTCGCTGCTTTTGAACCCTTGAATTTAAGGAACTGGATAAATCCAAAAACAATCAAAATAACCGAAATGATTCCGCCAGAGATGTAATGAATTGAACATTCATTTGGATTTAAAAGGTAATCTGTAAAAGTAGGGATAATGTTTAAATATGAGTGTTGGGAATTTTGAGTATCATAATAATGGAAAAACAATTTTGAAGGGATTTTAATAATATCCAAAAGCATACATGCCAAATTACCAGAAAGTGTTTGAGAATATGCAAATAATAGTTGGAATATTGGGAAAAGTAATAGAAATATGATAAGTATTGAATATTGTCCAAGTGCTATTATAACTGGAGGGCTCAAATGCTTGTTTTTATTTTTGAGGAGCGAGCAGTGGATATTCTTTTTAATTCCCAAGTCACTATTTGGTGAACTGCATTGATTAGTGAAAACATAATAAGCATCTTGAGTATAACCATCTATTAAGCTATTTAATAAAAATCTAACAATCGAATAAATAGAATCCTGCAATGCTCCTTTTCTTGTTCGTCTTCCATACCTTGTAAAGTCAGTCTTTTGTGCAGGAGTTCCACTATATAGCTTACTAAGAGCGTCTGCATTATCACTCCATATTTTCCTGAACGTATTCTCATTTGAAGAGTTATTTCCTGGTATAGGTTCGAATGCAGGCCCATGTTCTGATTGATTGTTATTATTAAAATTAATCAACTTTAATTCTAGAAGTTGTTTCAAAACATTATGGACAACCCTTCTTCCAATTACTGATTGCACTACATTTGTTCTATCTAAGCAATCGATACAATTCGTTCTGCAAATTCCATCTTGAATATTACCAATAATAACTTTGAACTCATTATCTGAACTAGAATAGTGCCCTTGAATAATACCAATTATAGGAGATAAATCTCCAACTTTGTCTCTTAATTGTATTTCTAAAGATGTAATGCCTAAATCATCCATTCCAATATCAACAAGTTTTTTAATTAAATATTTTAAATTTGACCATCTCATTTTAGAGCATTCACTATGGAAATCAAACCAACAAAATTTAATATTCGAGTTCTTGCTGCACTCTTCATCTTTTGAAATTGGTCTACCAGAAATTTGATCTTTTTTCAAAATTGAATCAGAATCGCAGTAAATATCATTAATATCGACTTTATTAAGATATTTTTCAAATTCTAAACCCAAATTTAACTCATGTCGTTTGTAGTCAATCAAATTAATTACTAATATTTTTCCATTATTTTCTTTAATATTGGATTCTAAGTTGGAATCTCCGTCTCCAGATTGATTACAATATTTTCTTGAAAGCTCGTTAAAATGACGATTCAATACAACTTGTTGACATCTTTCACCTTTATATATTTCCACAGGAGGAGTTTTTTCTAAATTTGGCGTTTGCCTCCAAATTATTGGTATAGAACCTCTATATTGCAAATAACTGTAAATATGAATAGACTCTGGCCTTCGAACTAAAATAATCTGCTCTGTTTCTACGGAGTTAGATGTATTTCCGTCTGAATTTGCGCCTCTACATAAATATCTAACTCCTTGTCGTCTACAATCTCTTCTTGAAATTAATAAGAAATCGACAATAGTGCTATCCTCTTTTTCCTTAGTAATTGCCTGTTGAAAATGCATTCTAGTAAAGCCAATATATCCTGACAATAACGGGGTTGCCCATTTAGAAGTAATTGATCCTCCTTCATATAAGGGCATGAGAAGATTGTAATTCCAACAAAATCTTTCCTCAGGAAGATCTCCAGATTTGCTTCCAAATTTAATTGATTGTCTAATATTTCTGGTAATATCAACATTAGAGTTTGTTGAAAAATAAAACCCTCCTCTTCTGAAAATAGAAAGTATCATATCCTCGGCGATTTTTACAGATTCAAGCTTTTTCTCAAACTCACACTCTATCAATTCTTCAAAATTAGCTTCATTATTTTCTTTACCAATATTGGATGAAAAATCGTTTTCTTTAGTTATCAATGGCACAAATAAAACATCATTAACCTTATATATTCTCTCATTTTGCCCAATTTCTGTGACAAATTCTGCTTCTGTTACAAACAAACATTTAGTAATTCCTTTGTCATATCTCCATATTCCTAATAATGCATAGGCATTAAAACAACTTCCTTCACTGATCCCTTGAATATTAGCTGGCTCTTTAGTACTTACAGATCCTAAATATCCTATATAAAGATTTTCTTCTGTTGTTTTAAAGATATTGCCAATATTTGTGGTATTAACTGAATAATCTGTTTCAGAGCTCTTGTTCGAGTAAGAGCGTAGTATTGAAGTGCTTCTCTGCTTTATTGGGCTCATTTCGTTTAATTTGCTAGTTGTTCTAGTAATTTTTAGCCATTTTCCCACTGGGGAAATTAGTTCCAAAACCCTTAATTCTGGTTCAAATATGCCAATCATTATAATCTATCTTTCTACTCAAAATTACAGAATAAATATTTGTTTTGAAGTGATATATCTACTTAAAATAAATTATTTAGTGTTATTGATTATAATGAATACTTATAATATTTTTATTTTCCTAATTTTCATAATAAGCATGTATTATTATTCATGTTACTTTGCTAAATCCAATAATGAAAGATACCGCTAAAAGTCCATTAGGCGCCAATTAAAATGTATTACCTGACTTAATGATTTTTTTCTCTAATAATTAAAGCCTTTATGTTCAAGAAGAAAGTTGCTCAAACTAGTGGGGAGACCTTAATGGGTCGCCGTGCTGTTCTGCAGCTGAGAGATCGTCTTATAAAGCAATTTAATTTAGAATCTCAAGTAGGTGACCTACTATTGGGTAAAAGAAAAAAGAATGATTTGAAAGTTACTGCTGCAAAATTTGAAAGAAATGAAACAGAAAGAGGCATTATTTACAGAATGGAATTTGAAAATGCATCCAATTTTTTTTTAAATGGTTTAGATATGTCGAATTCGGAAGTTATTGAGAGTGAAACTTTAAACAATGTTCAATTAAAAGCAAAGGTTATTAGCTCGAAAAAAAGTGATTTAATTGAAACAAATACTGAAAATAAATCTGAAAAAGACATAAGTCGCAGCTCAGAGGAGTGCAATTATTGCCCAAATTTATCTAATCTGAAAAGTCTCCCTACCACAATACCATGGTTATTTGAACTTAATATGAACAGGTTGTTTCCTACAATGCATCTTTTATGGATCCACAGCTCTATAATTTCAATTCCAAGTATTATAATTTTGAGAAATGCAAAACAATTCATATTTAATGGAGCTGATTTAATGGCAGGAGGCATCATTTTTGAATCAACTAGGAATATAACAAACATTAGAAAAGATCAGATTTGGACAATTAAGTGCATCGGTGATGATTATCCAATAGCTATTGGTGTATCTTTGGTTGACTGGGATGATATTTCAAACCAAATTATTCGTAAAGGTAAAGTCTTGAAGGTTATTCACCACTGTAATGACTTTCTTTCATTAGAAGGAAATATGGATTTCAACGAAAAAAAAAACTTTAATGAGGAAAAAGAAACCAAATTAAATAATGATGAGCAAAAGTTAACATCAGAAGTTACCAAAGAGTTTCAAAATATAAGTTTAGAAAGAAATGAATGTTTAGTTTTAGAAAAAAATCAAGGTTCATTAGAAAAATATACCAATGAGTTTCAAGTACCAGAAAATGAGTTAATTTCATCATCAAAACAATTTGAGTATGTAATTTCTCAGAATAATTGTGAAAAACAACCTGAAGAACTTTCTCAAGATGCTTATGACTTTTTATTGGAAACTTCATTATTAAAAGTCATTTCTGAATACTCTTCTAATAAGAATTTACTTCCTGTAGATACGTCTGCTATTTGGGATAAGATTTCTAGACTCTGTTTGCATAACTTTGGAATTCAGGTCGATATTAAAAAATCATCATTTATAAAGGTTCAAAAGTTTTTCCAATATTATTCTAAGAAAAATATTCTCTTGATTAAACAAGGAAGAGGAGGAGCACTGAATGTTGTAGACATTAATTACGAAGAAATTAAAAAAATTGAGAACAGTTTGGATAACAAAATATCACTGAAACTTCCTCCAATTAAAAAAAAATCCTTTTCAGGAGGTGAAAATACATTAAGTAAGATAAGTAACTCACATATTGAGGTTGTCCTGCTTTATCAACCTGAACAAAACTTCCTCCCAATTGTGGATTATTACAATTCCAAAGAAATGAACCATCTTGGTAGAGTTTTAAAAATAAAGACATCAAGAGGTGAAAAAGAGCAAACATTTATTTCAGTTGCAGATGCAAAAACCGCATTAGAATACTATATAAATTCGAATAATCTCAAAACAAGTGACCCCAACTCTAATTCAGCAGGAAGGCTTTCTAATATAAAACTGGATGAAGTTCTTCTAAGCCTGTTTAACAAGTACTTAGGTGATAAATCCATTAATTCACAGAATAAAGTTATTCCTATATCTTTGGCTTACAGAGAAATCCAAAACTTCTTAAAAGTGTTTCATTATATTAGAAATGAAGGAGATCCAGATTCTGAAAATAGACCAAATATATATAAAGGGCCATGTAAAACCGTAGAGATTTATACTGAATCTAGAATGGGAACTAGAAAACATGTTACTATTATTAGCCCATTTATTAGCCATTTCAATCTAGACCCTCAAGAAGTTGCTGAGTCCTGCCAAAAAAAGTTTGCATGTTCTGCAACAGTTTCTCAAATAAAAAAGTATCCATCAAATAACAATTTAGGGATAATTATTCAGGGAAATGTAGTTTCGCAATTATCAACTTTTTTGAATTCAAGATGGGGAATTCCAAAGTCTTATATAAAACAATGTTAAATTCTTTCAAATTTATTAATTACCATCTTGGATCAAATATTACATTCTGAGGTGAAACATTATCACCATAAAGGATATTTGCATCTTTTAATGCATCCTCCATATGCGCTACTCCAAGGTAAAATAATAAAACAAGAGCAATCATTGTAATGCTTGCAAATACACCTATGTTTTTCTTATCAACCTCCATTCTATTAAAAATCCAATCAAATAGTTAATAATATATATCAATTATTGTTTTTTACTTACATTAATTCTTTTTTTTTTAATTCTTTAAGTTTTGTTTCAATTTCATTTGAAAGATCTGTAAGTTCTTCTATAGTATTATCCAGTACCTATAAAAAAAATTTTGAAAATAAAGGTTAATATTATTCAATTTAAGGCTTACCTCTTCATTTAATTCTGTAGAATTACTTGTAATATTTGTTATTAAATGTTCTTTAATTTCCTTTAATTTTTGGTCTTGTAAAGTAGTTCCATTGGAAGATAAGATTAATGTGTTAATCTGAACACATTCAGAAATTTGAAAAAATATTACTGCAAAATTTCCAACAAACCAAAACAAAAACAATGATAAATTTAATTTCATTGCTAAAAAAAATAGTTATTTCATGTATAATTCTTTTACTAATAACACTCACTAAAGTTTTATTTTGTTTTTAAATCTACCCTCCCATAATCGTCATTTCGTAAAAAAAAAAAAATGAAAAAAAAAAATTTGAATGCTTTAGATATTTTAAAAAATAATTAAAAAATAAATTATGATTTGAATATAAAGTAATAGCCTAAAAAATAGTTAATATTAACTTTGAATGACCATTTTGTAAAATAATAGAAAATAGTGAAGGAAATAAAATTAATATAAAGTTAGAAAAATATATACATATTTACTAGTCCACTTTATATTTCTATTTGAATTTATATCTTATTGTTTTTATTTTATAGTTTTGTTTATTCATTCATTTGATTCTTTTCTTTTTTAAGAATTTGTTCAAAATAAAGATATTAAATAAAATATATTATTGTATCAGTTCAAACTGTAAAATCTGTTCATTCAAATTTAATCATATGAAAAATATCTTTAGATAAATCAAATAATGCTCACTTTTTTTATTGTCCTTTTTGTTAACAAATCAATCTTAATTTAATGCATGGCGCCAAGTAGAGGCGGTTTGCATGCAAGATGATTAAGTAAGAGGTCAAATTTTCCAATTCCGACAAATAATAAAATTATTAATATTAGATAGCTGGTAAACTTCAACTTAAATTTAGATAAGTTCCTATAACAAAGGTTATAAATTTAACAAAATTTATTCAAAACAGAGCGCATTAAAACATCTTATTATCAAATATTAATGTGGACAAATAAAATGTGAAAATGATTAGGAGCAATAATGGATCTAAAACATGGCTTTCATTAGTTAAAATAGTTTTTTTATTTAATTTTCTTCCAAAACTGATTAATGCTGTAGATCCGTCAGATACACCATGCGGTAAAGGCACTTATTTTGATGGAAACCAATGTGAACCTTGCCCAGAAGACACTGTGGGGTTAACTAGTAATATATATACTTGTTTAAATTGCCCAATTAATTCTAGTACATATGGAAATGTTGGTTCAGATAGCCTTGATTCATGTATTTGTAATTCTGGTTATTATAAATTAGAAAAAACTAATAACTGTATTTCATGTCCTACTCTTACTCAACAATATTTTTGCCCAGGAAAATTTGATAAAGATTATTGCCAAACAAATGAAAAACTCAAAAATGGAGGTTGGTGGTTTAACGATTATTCTACCGGTATAATAATGAAGTGTCCTCATGAAGAAGCTTGCTTACCGGAATGCAAAGGATGTAAAGAAGGATATACAGGTCCATTATGTAATGTATGTACTAGTGATTACTTTCCATTAGATTATGGAATCGAAAAAGAATGCGTCAAATGCCCAAATCAATACCTGCTGTTGTTAATTTTCTATGGAATGATTTCATTATTAGTATTTATTTCTTATGGTATTGCGAGAGTTAGTGAATTATCCATAAAATATACAGCATTAAGTAGAAGAAATTCTGCCGTAGTTGGTAAGTTCAAAAACTTAGTGTTTTTCCTATCTATTAGCACTGCATATGGTATATTTGTTAAATATAAAGATGTTGACTTTAAAGATATGGACGATTTCTTTATTTTTTATCTCAAGATATTAAAATTTCTAGCACCTAATTTATGGCTCCCAATTGGAGTTTTTCCATCAAAGTGTCTTTTTAAGTCATTTCCAATTATAATGCAATCAGTTGGGCAGGACAATTTAACTGATGCAAATGCTGACTTGTTTATTTCAAATTCTATACCAATTTTGGGTATTGCAAACATATTTATTATATTTACTATTAAACATATTATTGACGTAAGCAAAATATATAAAGAAAATGACACTAAAATGGAACTAAGTGCGATGAAAGTCATGGATTCATCCGCCCGATTAGATAAATTTAATCAAATTCTAAAGAAACAAACAGAAAAGTCGACATATAGGTTTATCAGCACTTCACAAGTGTTTTTGACGTTAATTTACTCTACTATCTGTTGGTCTATAATCGTTTCAATGACTTGCACAAATATTCCAGGTTTTGGTACAGTTCAATCACAATGTTATAAATTACCCTGTAAATCATTAAATAAAGATGCACTTATTGGATATATTTACTACTGCACAATATTTCCGCTAATTAATATCATTTCCAGTTTTCTTATTCGTAAAAAGATAATTCGGCAAAATCAGTTGTACACAATTAGCAGCAGTTTTTTGTTTTCTGGTTATAAAATTTCAGTTTTATATTGGGAGTCAATTCGTTTATATATTGTTTCTGCAATGATTCATATTCTAAATTTTAATTATGTTTTTGCCAGATATTTAATACTATTTGCACTTTCAATTTTCTCCATAATAGTATTTATTGAAAGTATTATTTCTCCGGTTGATAATAGTGATGTTAGTGAAAAGAATGGAATGGATAAACCTTGGTGGTTATTCTCTACAAGTCTGATGGTTAATACAATAGTTTCTGGGTTTACATTGATTATTATTCCTTGTTTGCTTTGTATCTACAGCTATTATCCAAAATTTGAATTTGTTATTGAAATAACTATTGTTGCTTTTCATTTAGGAACAATTTTGTTTATGTTTCAACAAGTGTTTGTAGACACATTATTTTTGATTCATCAATATAATAAACACAAGCAATTATATGGTGATAAAGAACAGATTTTGGATACAGAGGAATCCAGTGATGGAATGTCTCTTTATTACAAACACAAACTTGGCGACAATGAACAAAATAATTTTATTTTAGGACTTCTTAAATCCCCTTTTCCTGAGGAAGCAGCTGCACAAATGCTTTATTTAATAGAACAAGGAAATATCTTTGACTGTGAAGCAAAGGATATTGGTAAACTGCTTTATTCAGCTGGATTTTATGAGCCACAAGGACAAACTTTGAGGTACTTAATTCCAAAAATTAAAGGTTATAGATCTAATTCTGATATTCCGGTTGATAATGAAATTGAGTTATTAGGAGAAGTAAGGAAATGTATTATGAATACAGTTAGAATTCTTGGAATTGAATCAGCAGTAAAAAATTCTCAATTTAGAGCTAAGGGAGCTAGGGTAATATTTTCTTCTCAGCAATTTGGTGAATCTACATGTAAGTTTGTCTTTAAAAAAATATATATAATTAAATTAACTAAACAAATTAATTATTAAAAATAGTATTAAAAACTGCATCAGATGACTTATTTAAATTTCTTTCTGACGTTAGGTGTTCAAATTTAAGTGATAATAAAGTACAAAGCAAGACTTTTAAATTACTATTTCCAGATGCATTACCAATGGTATATCCAGATGATGAAGAATTTAGACTAAGAATAATAGATGCAAGAATGGTTGCTAAAGAAATTAGAAAAGAAAGAAACAAGAAACTCAAAGAATTTAATAATGACGGAATTTATGATAAAGTATTTGGGTTCAACATTCCTGTAAGGCCTGATGTTAAGGAGTTACTTGAAATGAAGAGACTAAATGAGTTAATTCTTCCACCAAGATGGGATCCTTTAGATGGAAGGCTTGACCATGAATTTGACCATGCAAGATATATTAAAATCCGAAAACAATTTGAAGATATACTTCCAATTGCAGGAACCTCAATAATATCATCAGAAGAAGTTGAAAGGAATTTTATGAAATGGTATAATGAAGGACTATCAATAGAATCATCAAAAAGGTATGATCATACAAGCATGGTAGGATCGAAATATCTCATTGAGGGTGATTCTGAAGTGAAAGATTTTACATTTCAGTCCAGAAATGGTAAAAACATGAGTGTACAAAACAATAGGCAAGGAACATCTAAATCAATCACAAAGAAAAAAAAATAAAATATTTATTAATCGGAAATTCCACTCTTAAATAGTGAAATAATTTTTTTAGACCTTAGTTAAAATTTTCTATTACTGATTCTTCGACTTTAGATTTAAAATTGCTTAAACCTGAAATTGATTCAACCTTTCGAGGGTTAATAAATATTTCAGTCAATGTATTAATTTCATCTTTATGAATTTGATCAATTAGTTCATTTGAGCAAGCAATACAACTTTTATTTCTTTGAATCGGGTCTGTGCAGAATGAAAAATCAGCCAAAAAGCCTCTAATACATTGAGGAGTTGTGCCTAAAAGGCTTTTATTTTCATTATTTTTTTCTGATTTATTAAATTCATTGCTTAAATGAGGTGCATTCCATGTTAGCGGATGTTGAGAAAGATTCATAACCAACTCGACTGCAATAGAAGATGCGAAATAGCTCGCTCCCATTCTGACAACTGAGCATTGTTGATCAACTGGAATATCGAATATGTTATTTTTTGAATTTATTGAAAAATCTCCACAAAAATAACATCCGGAAGCAGAATAGTCTGCTTCTGTAAATGTATTTCTAACTACAATAAAAGAATCAAATCCTAATCCCACTGTAATGCATAGTATTGGCCTCTTTCTATCACAGTAGCGGTTAAGTAATGCAACTAGAACAGTAGGTAACCATCTTGATTCTTTATTGTCAGTAAGTAACATCACTACATCTGAATCAAGTATATTATTTTTTGTTTTATCAACTGAGTTCAAAAACTGTTCAGGACTTAGTGTAGAATCACCAAGTATTGGAATTTCAAAATCTATTCCTTCTGCATGAATATCAGGGCAAATGTAACGAAGTCTTTCAACAGCTGCTTGAGCCTTATTTTTCTTATTTTTTGCGTCTTCTAACGTAAATAAGCACTGTCTAATTGGATTGTTCAAACTGACTTTAGAGTTATCAATAAATGTAAAATTTCGTATACCCCATCCAATAAGATTTCTAGCAACACTACAGCCTAATGTACCACTACCAACTATTAAGAATTTCAAATTCTTAAAATGAATCGGTTCAAAATTAGGTATTAGTCTCCATTTAATTAGGTCAATATTCATTGTACTAATTCTTTGTTGAAGTTCGTGCGGAGTCAAATAACTTTTCAAATCAAAAAGTAAAATATACTCGGATTGCAATTCTTTCATATTTTTTTCACTAATCGTTACTATATTTTTAACATGTTTATTTGTAATAAAGCAATTTCTCAAATCAAATATGATATTACCATTCATGCTAGATTCTTTCAAAAATGTTATTATTTCATTAGTGTTTAGTGGTCTATTATATTTTTCTTCAAATAGCAAAATAGTAAGCAAAGTTGAAAAAAACCAAGGGCAATGAAATTCTTTTTTTTGTTCAATATTTGTTTCATTATTGGTATGATTGCCAACGTTAATCGTCACTCTTTCCTTTAATGTTGCAATAAGTGCATTCGAATTTGAGTTCTTATAAATATTGTTTAAATTAACAGATAAACCTGAATATTCTGGTAAACTTGATGTAATTTTGATGCCAAATTCAGATTGTTTGTCACTTTCAATATTGAAATGAATAGTTAAATTCGGAAATAGGGCACTGTAATAAACTATTTGGGTTTTAAAATCAAAATAAATACACATTTTAAAAGTAAACGGAAAATTTTCTTGATTATTTGTACTACTATTCGACCATTTCCTTGCATTTTCAATCGTAGATTCTAACTGATAGTCATAATCATGTTCAATATCATTTGAACATAAAACAGTAGACAAAGAATTTACTAGACTCAATTTTCCAATAACAGAATTATTATAAGCTTAAAATAACGAAATATTTTTGAGAATAATTATTTTAGAAATCAAGAACAAAGTTAAAGGGGAAGAAAAAAGATATTTTGAAATCGTACCTGAATAATCTTTATTATTTGCGTTTAAGGATTCTTGTCTTATTCGAATAATGTTTGTTTCTTGATTGTAGAAACCAAGTATTTCAAATGAATCTTCATTCGATTTAAGCACGTTATATTTAAAGTTACTGGCTGCCTTCCAGAACCCCACTTCTATTTGGAGTTTTGGTAGTTCAAACTTTAATGAGCCCCTTTCTGAATCTTGAATCATTTTATCTACTATCTTACTCAAAAGAGAAAATTATCTTTAATAAATTTTTTTCTATTACATTCTAATCTATAAATTCTAAATTTTGCATGAGACGAGACGTTTAAATGAAAATTCATGTTTCAATTTTGGAATAAAAAATTAGAAAAAAAAATATAAATTGGTAATGTAATAAGCGTTAACGAAACCAGGACTTTCATAATTCAACGACAAATTTCCTTGATAAATTGATTTATTAATTTTTTTGTTTCTAGAGCTCTATGATTCATTTCCATCAGAATTCTCTTAAACTTCTGTTGGAATATTTGCTTTAATAGCATTAAGACTGTTTTCAGGAACGTTAATGGAAGTAGAAATTCCACTCTTCAATCTCCAATAAGCTAAAGTATTTGTACCTTTCTTATTTGAAACTGAAACTTTGTTGAATGAGTTTGCGTTTATTTTTATCTTTGCAATAATGCAATTTTTAAATGAAATATATAAATAATTATATTTATCATTTGAACTAGATGATAACGAATTACTTTCCGCACTTTCGATATTTTTAACAGTTCCAGTGCTTCCAACA